CGTCTCCGCCGTTCCGGTTTACGGGTGTGACATTCTGAATTTGTTATAAATAAGATTGATTTTTATAAATATAACATGTATGTATATATAAACTAGCCATGAGACAACTTTTGTCTTCTTTGTGACTTACATTTTTTGAAAAATTAGAGGATACCAAGCATGGTCTTATTTTGAATTGTTTAATCAATTCTACCATGCTTGTAAGAAGCATTTCTCATGCTTTTGCTTTATGGTCTCTTCTTGCTTTTTGGCCTTTATAGGAAGGTCAGAAGTAAGTTCTTGCAAGCCTCATTTTGTTATTATTTGGTGTCACACCCCCAAACCGTAAAACAGACTTCGGAAACGTTCGGAGGTGGATGACGTCATATGTAGTATCACAACAATTGCATCATAGTAATGAAAGTAAACACAACCATTACAATATAATATGAATATTTACATTTGTTCAATACAAATTTTGTATACATCAAAAGTATAATTAGTAAAAGACGTGTCTCCACAAGCTCCGTCTTCTCAAAAGCTGGCAAGGGTACCTGTCTATTGTTGTCCTGAGAATACAAGCGATTTTTGAAAACATATAAGCATAAAGCTGGTGAGTTCATAAGCATGTTTTTATAATGAAAACTAGTAACTGAATTTGTATAAGTGTTTGTTTGTTTTCCCAGAAAATCCAATATTTTCTTTAGTAAAAGTAGGAAGAAACCAGTTCCCTTTTATCACCACTTAGTTCATACTAGTCACATATAAACCAACATCGAACAGACAGTGGATTATGTGGATCTACCCTAAGCCCACAACCAAACAAGGGATAGGAAATGAGGCGGAAGCCAAATACTTCATGATATATTGAATATTCTTTATAAGTAACCATGATGTATAAACTAAGGGGTTATAGAACTAACCATGAATGTTTGTTGTTGTGTCCTTTGTAGTGTAAGAGATGTGATAGTTTGTATGTTTGGTTACTACTAGTATGTAAGTTCTTGTTTGAAAACCAGGGCTCCCACTAGTATGTAAGGTACTTGAAGTTTAACTGGGAAAATCCCTTATTTTCTCTTGTATTTATTTTGTTGCTTTAATGATTCTGAAACGATGAGGCATAAGTATTATTCATACCAATGTTATTAAAGCAATTGTTCATGAGAAGTGTATTATTACGTAAATATGTCGTACTATTGGCGAGTTTTATGACTATACTTAAACTTGATACGACGTAAAACAGACACCGATATCCTTTATGACATTTGTCACACGTAGACCTGGCGGTCCGACTGTAGCTATCAGCCAGGTGCGGGATAGTCAGTCCCGTATAGATCAATACACAAAAGCCATGCTTTCCCTCCACGAAATTTTGGTTCATAAGGGTACTCCTCCACTTAGTTAATGTTATAAGCGCCCAAGGACGTGTCTCCCAACTACGTTAACGAATTTACGAGTAATAATATGAAAAACGTAATGTTCTTTTGTACTTTAATTCGAGGTGTGTCTTATAGAGTTAAAATAATTATACCTAAATAATTATTAACTGTTGTACTCTTGTAATGTGTGACATAAACTAAATCTGTCATAGTTTATTTTTTCAACCATTTAAGCAGTTCGTATTCATAAAACCGGTAAAGAAGTTCCCAAACTATACCTATTATAGTTTGATTGAAAAGCTAGGTTCGTGATATTCTTTGAGAACTATGTAAATTTTATGGTTATTATGCTTTCTCTTTTATGGTTGCTTTAATTTTTCTAACTCATGAAAAATGATCCTTGGTGGGTAAAATAATTTTAGTTTTATTCAACATTTTAAAGCTTCCATTGTCATTTTTACCGGTTATGAAACCTTATTTATGAATAAACACCCAACAAGTGGCTAGTGTTTCAAAAGGGCTTGCCAAGTCGAAATTTAAGCCTTTAGGGTTTAATTTCCATAAACCCTAATTTTGATCAACTCATTTTAGTGCACAATCAAAAAAAAAAACGTAGACTCTGATATCACTGATGAGTTTTATAGGTTATAAAAATTACATGTGGCAGAAAAACACTTAAACTCTTAAGTTTACATGAAACCTAGAAAGGATATATGCTTTCTCTATTGATAGCAACTAACTACGAATACCAAGAAACCCTAAGAGAGAGGCTATGAAATCGAAATTCATACCAAATTAGGGTTACATAGCATTTGATTATTATTGCAAACTATCAAACCCGAATCCTTCTTCAAATTCTTGGAAGCTAACACCAAAGGAATGAACGCCTCTAATGGCTTGTACCTAAAACCCTAGTAGCAATAAGACTTGATTAGAGAGATGCTAAAGAAAAATTCCAGCTCTTGTATGTATGTATGTTGTGAACAAAAATATAATGCCAAAGGACCTATTTATAGCTGATAGGAAAACTCTAAAAACCCCAATTTGAAATAAAATAATGTTATTTCAAATCCAGAATTATCTAGTTTCCTAATTATCCATAAGGAATATTTTAAAAACCCTAAAAACTCTCCTTAATTTCAAGGGGTTGGAGGGTTCTGGAATACATTCTTGTTTAACTATTAAATAATTACAGCTTCACTCCTTGCACTTTTAATTAATCCAATTAATTCTAAAATTTATTCTAATTAATTTCTAACTAATTTATTAACTATATAATAAATTAATAAATCAGTCTCTTCCTCGAAAAATCATTCTATCCAAATACTAGTTTTGAGGGTAACTCAAAAATGAGTTTGCTTCTAATTCAAGAATATATCATTTAGTTATTGGCTTAGACACCTTAATCCAACAACTACTACCCGATTTGTTTTATCACTTGTGGTTACCAAACAATGGTATGTATGACAACTTGATGTCCACAATGCCTTCTTACATGGCGATGTGAAGGAAATTGTGTATCTACAACAACCCAAGGCTTCGTTGATCCGCATAATCGAGATCACGTGTTTCTTCTTCATAAGTCTCTTTACAGTCTCACACAAGTACCGAGAGCCTGGTTTCAATGACTCTCATCATCTTTAATCTCTCTTGGCTTTCGAGGTTCCAAAAGAGACCCTTTATTATTTATTCATTTACTCGACTCATGGTACGATTATGTATATGCTCATGTATGTCAATGACATTATTTTGACCATGACCAATAACAAATCTACTAACAACATCATACATAGCCTGAGTAAGTCAGCTTTCATGTATGTCAATGACATTATTTTGACCATGACCAATAACAAATCTACTAACAACATCATACATAGCCTGAGTAAGTCAGCTTTCATCCAAGACATGGGGCCTTTATCATATTTCTTGGGCATTGAGGTTGTACATAGATATTATGGTATTATTCTCTCTCAACGAAAATACATAAACGAGTTGTTGGCAACAATAAACTTATCTCACTCAAAGCCTGTTCTGTCATCTTGCACCGCCCGATCAACTTTGTGTCTGGGTGATAAGACTCTATTTGATGATTCGATGAAACATAGACAAACAATGGGCACATTACAGTATTTTATGTTATCATGGCATGACATTACACTTGATGTTAACAAAGTAAGTCAATTTATGCACTCACCCATTATGAATCATTGGTTTGCGGACAACTGTATCTTACGATATCTACATGGTACAACAAGTCATGGTCTCTTAATCTCCCGAACATCGTGCTATGTTGTGTTCGACTCTTTGAGTGCGTTTTCGGATGTCCATTGGGTTGGATGCCCAGATTATCATCAATCCACGGGCGGATATATGATATATCTTGGATCTAATCTTTTATTGTGGTCTGTTAGAAAAGAAAGGTTGTATATCAGTCATCTACATCTACATAATCGGAATACAAAGCATTAGCAAATATTGTAGTTGAATTAACTTGGGTCGAACACTTTGTTATGAGAACTTCATGTTCCAATGAAATCGGTTACAACTCTATGGTGCGATAATTTAGGAGCCATGTATTTGTCTGCTAATCATGTCTTTCATGCGCAAACAAAGCATGTAGATGTTGTCTTTCATTTCGTTTGACAAAAGGTTGCACAAGGAAAATTGTGAGCACTTTCACTTTTTGAAGTCAAAGATAAGTGTAGATTCCCGGCCTTAGCTTGAGGGGGAATATTAGGCGAAAATTTATATATGCATTATTAGAAGGCGTGTTTTGTAAAGGTGTGACCTATTTATATACATATTTATTATCGATCATAATACAATAAAAAATATATCTTTTACCATATTTAATTACCAGAACCTTATATATCATCCGTTAGGTGTTCTTTTTTACAATTTTACTTGAATAACATATTCAAGTTGTGTGGTTGTTATCTTATAAATGTAAATAACCAACCTAAAATATTTGTATCAACAATATATCATTTACCATGTTTAATTACCGTGTTGGACCTCATATATCGCACGTTTGGTGTTCTTTTTTACAATTTTACTTAAGTACCGTATTCAAGTTGTGTGGTTGTCTTGTAGATGTAAATAACCAACCCAAAATATATTTATCACTATGAGGACATTAAGATATCGAGAACATTTGAATTTATTGTTATCCATAACCATCTATTTCTTGATTATTAGGCCATCCGGTATACTCTCAACGGAGAACCTTCGTTGCCACCTGGAACCACCACCATTGGCGTGCACACCACCCCGTCTGTTCCATGGTACAACGATCGTGGTCAATCGTTGTCCCAACAACAAACCAACACGACCAATCAGGTCTTCTTCTTCTATCTTCCTCTCTCTTTTTCTCTCTCATGCGGGTATCTCTCTTCATCGTGGAGAGTGTAGCGGGTTCAATGTGGAAGGAAGATGGATCGAGATGGTGGTGACATGGAGGTGGATGAAAATCGTGGTCGTTGCCGGTATAACAGATAATCTTATATAACCATGTAAAACGAACGCAGCTGATTTTTTTAACCAAAAAATAGAACTTCAATTTGAAATGTGTTGAGAATACTTGAAACTTTTTTATTGATTCTCGTTTGATGGTGATTAATTAACACAAAGTTATTTTCCATCTTATTTACAGTGTGCGAGTGGCGATCCACACAAACATTGATTGTGTATGAATGAAGTGTTATCGAACCCTTCAGATCGATACCTTAGTTTCCACGGCGAAGGAATCTCTCCGCATAATTTGTTGTAACTTACATTTAAAAATTGTAACATTGTTGCTTTCAGTATTTGAGTCGGTATCTTCCCATATATCTTATTATGTGATATATCCAATGTTACCAACGTCTCCTCCATGAAACTCACTCGCGAGAAATCAAACTCGAAATTGTTTCGTGAAATGTCAATTACACTAGTACTCTTCATTGCACCAAACAACATCGAGGCATCTCCTGATAAGTTGTTTCTCGATACATCAATCTGATAGATCTTCATTTTCCCAATCGATATAGGGATCTCACCAGAGAGCATGTTATGAGATAAACTTAGGCCTTGCAAGGCTGGAGAGACAAGATGACCAAATGACTCGGGGATTGACCCCGTGAGTCGATTTCGACTAATGTCTAGCCCAATCATATTTGGCAAAGTAGCTAGAGAGGATGGAATTGGGCCTGATAAATTGTTAAATGAAAGATCAAGAATCATGACACTTTTGAGTTCTTCAAGAAATGAAGGCACTTGGCCTGAGACGTTAGTCCAACTTATATCAAAAAATGTGACGTATTTCAATCTTGACACACCTCGGGGAATTTCACCTACAAGAAATGGCATCTTGTGCAAGCGAAGTGTCTTCAGATATGTCAAATCACCAATGACATCGGGTATTGTGCCTGCAAGGTTGGAGTTGGTGAGGGAGAAGTCTATAATGCGATTTGTGGTCTCATCACAATCAAATATGTCACAGCAGTCACGATCAGACGTCCACATTGGCAAGAGCTGAGGCCCATTTGAAAAGCTGTTTTTGAATTTAAGAATTGCTGCTTTATCTTCCGGGTGACAACGTTCGACTACTGCAACCGCTGGTGATAACAGGAATAAAAGTAGTATCAACATAGCAGTGAGTTGATGATACGAGAGGAGTTATAGAATTGAAATGGAAGGCCATACTCCTTTTAATCTTTTATAGACGAGTTCATATATTGGATCAAGTCAAAATTGGTGAACTGCAAATTTGGACTTTGATGTTGACTTTAGTTATAGTTTTTTTTTTTTTTTTCCTTTTTCTTTTTAAATAAAAATACAGATAAAAAATTATTTTATTTGCGTACTGGTATTTCTTTTTTTTTTTTATTATTATTATTTTGTAACATCAAAATCTCGAAAAACTTTGAATACATTTTGCTTATTAAATTTACTTATAAAACCTTAATTCTTTTTTTTTTTTTTTTGGGAAGAAAGAAGAAATTTAATTCGTCAATTACTTATTTTCTTATTCATGTTTCATTATAAATTAAAGATAAGCTGGGTTATAGTTTATTTACTAAGAATATGTTTATTTTTTTACTAAGAATATGTTTATTTTTCGAAATGGTTGTATATCATATAAAATGTGTAAAGATTAAAAAGTATTTTTATAAGTAGATAAAATGTTGATAAGATGTTGAGTTGGTGGCCATTCATTTTGTTCGACTCTTTGGAGCCATTTGGAGTCAAGTTTAATCAAGGTAATATTCACGGTCGGCCCAAGACAAGTTCAAGAGATACCCATGATTTGGACTCATCCTCCGTTACGGGTCCAATACTTTTAGCCTTACGTAGTAGTACGTACACAAGCAGCTATGTCCCTTAGGGCCCAATTTCTTGTTTAGATCTAAAACTAGAACACGTTTTCTTCCAAATGGAAGAGTGTGGAATCAAAATTGAAAGCGGGAATATATTTGAAAACGATTTTGCGCATGCCACGTTTTCGAATGAAACCTACGGTTTGGAGGTTGGGATTGGGAATTAAAAAAAAAAAAATCATTTTGAGATACCTATAGTTTCCTCTAAGTTACGGTATCGCAATTAGTAGTTTATAAAAACCTACGGTTTTGTGTATTTCTAATATTGTTTTTTTATTTTTTTGGTAGTTGACTACTATTTGGTAGAAGTTGACTACTATTTTTTTGGGGAGTTGACTAAACTATATATGTATGACCACAACGATATATGTTGAAAATGTTTTATTATGATGTGGAATTTTACGAGACCATAACATTCACTGAATGTGTTTATTTGGTGAAAAGTAAGACTAGTATTTTAGATGAATCAAAAATTAGTTTGGCTTATCAACATTACTAGGAACTTTATTATTGTGCTATTGTTGATTATTGTGATATTATAAAGTTAATCAAGGTAATAATGTTGTGTTGTTGGAGGTAAATATGTATGTGTATCTTGTGGTTGAAGAAGGTGATGGGGCTAACTGTGGCACCCATTTTTCAGATTAGATTAGTTGAGGGCTCAGAGGGATCAAAGGTAAGGTTTTTGAGAAAAGAAAAAAAAAAAAAAAAAAACTTTGTGTCACGACGTGGTGAACGGAGTGCCACGATATGGCAAGCCAATTCCAGGAATGTGCATCCAGATGGCCGCCATGACATGGAAGCTGCTACAACCCAATCATTCCATTTTTTTCAGAACCAATTAAAACATTTTCTTTACGCTTTAAATATTTATGTTGTAGAAAAATGCCAGTTTAAAATAATTAGAAACATAAGTTGTTTCATTTTACTAAAAATACCATGGTCACCATTAATATCCAAACATAGATTACAGCGTAAAATAAAAGGGTCCTGAAATACTTATACATGCACATTTCTTATTCACTCGACATCTTAACTAGATTCCAGTAGCTTTAGTTCCGCTACATGTGACACATATAAATTAAAAAGGTCATGTAACGCCCGGATCTTGAGGAACATTATTCACAATATGATTATCATTTTTAGGATTTCCACGGCGTGGTGGAGGTACCACCACGACGTAGCGAGGCGAGAAGGGTTCGTGTGTTTTATCTAAGCCACCACGACATGGTAGTATTAGCCACGGTGTGGTGGAAGACTAATGTAAAAACTCTATTTTCCGGGTTTGCTCCCTATTTAAAGAAATGTAGAGACTAGGGTTTGCTAATCCTTAGCCTCCATCAGCCCCTCAAACCCTAAAGAAAACCCTAATCACTTTCCTCCATTTTTGAGCTAGTTTTGGTGTTCCTTGAAGCTAAAGAAGGAAGTAGGAGGAAGGAGGAAGCAAGGATCAAGCATGAAAATATTCACTCTCCACCTTAGAACTCTTATGGGCCTTTGTAGGTGTCCAAGACTCGATTTTTATCATGCTAGGTTACTAGATCTTGAGTTTTGTCCTATAAACTTCATGTTTTTGCTTGTTGGGATGGTATATCTCCTAAAGTTTGCACCTTTATGAATCTTTGGGGAATTTGGTGTTTTTTGTACCTTGGATCTGAAGTTTGGTTGGGTTTTCAATGTATGCATGATATTTAGGTCACAAATCCTCATTTGGACCTAATATGGGTTTAAGACATGCATGTCTATAAAGCACTAACTTTTAGATTAATTTTGGTGCTAGAATCACTTCTGGAAAGGATAGACTTTAGGATTTATGGAATAAATGCTTATTGGTTAAGATCATGTATTGTTAAGGCTCTTGGGACTTTAGGATTTTGATTTTGGACCTTTTGGGGTGGTCCTAATGGATAAAGTTAGAAACTTTATCCTTCTAGATCACATTTTGGACTAGATCTAATCTTTGGAGCTCTTAGAATTGAAGAAAACAATTTAATGTATTAAGTTGTTGGAACCCCCAGCTACCACGACATGGTCCTAGGTCACCACAGCATGGCGAATGATATTTACCGATTGTTTGGTCGTATGCAAACCACGAAGTGGCCAAGGAAGACCATGTCGTGGCAGTTGGCTGGAGTCAACATTGACTGCTGACTTTGACTATTGACCTTAAGGGTTGTATTTTGACTTGTAGACCTTTGTTCAGCTGTTAATAGGTAAATTAAGGTCTTGCTATTGTGTGAATATCTAGGTGGCGTTTAGCACCTGTTGTGGGATTTTAAGAGCATGTTGACTTTTTAAACTGCTTTGCATGGTGAGTTCCATTCACTATACTTGTGGTTTAATGTCTGCCCACTAAATTATGTTTAGTTGATGATGGTTTCCTTTGTGACAATGTCCTGCTATGCCTGAATGTTCTTGTTGTATCTATAACTCTTGTTGTTATGATTGTATTCTAATTGTAGGGGTGAAAGAGACCCGATACCGGTTGAAAAGGACCGAAGGGGTTGAAATATACTCAGTACTGGTTGAAAGTGGCCGAAAGGGGTGAAATAAACCCAATACCGATTGAAAGAGACCAAAAGGGGTGAAATATACCCAGTACCGATCGAAAAAGACCGAAGGGGGTAAAATAGACCCAGTTATATTTTGACTGTTATGTATTAATATATTAATGAATTTCATTTGTGAATTTATATTAATTGATTTTATTAATATAGATTAATTAAGACAAATTATAAATGGTCGTTGTGGTTTATTCTATTTATTGTATTTATTTCGAAAGTTTACTCTAAAAAAGAGTTAATTTTTACACATTCATATTCAATATGATTTTGTAAAACATAATAATAATTTTTTATTAGTATAGATTGAATTACTTATTCATCATTTCATTTATATTTTTTCAAAATTTTATTTTAGAAAATACTTAATATCTACACCTTATATTTAATTTTTTTAATGAACCAGTGTAATACACGGATCTCACACGTAGTATTTCTAATATATAAAAGATACTTTGATACCGCTTATGAGTTTTGAGAAGTTAAATCTTTCCAATATATAAAACAGACTATGATATCACTAATGAGTATTGGAAAGTTAAAATCCACAATTTTTATAGTACAATTTATAAACAACAAACAAAAATGATTTAAAATAAATATTATTTTAGATTATTTTTACAAAACCACCAATGAGCCATTTTAATGAACTTAGAAATAGTAACGTGCATTACAATTTTATGTGTTTTAAGATTAATCTCTTTTATTCGATAATATTAAATTTTATTTTACATTGTCCCTTGCTAAAAGTTTTGCGGACGATATCTATATACCTATTTTGGCGAACTTTTTCTCTTCCACACAGTCACACATGCTTTTTCTTCTAACATGTCGTGAGGATATTTTTATTTTTTATATAAGTATAATTATAAATTTAATAGTTTAGTGAAAAAGAGGACTTGACATTGGCTTTTCCCTTAAATTTCATATGTTGTAATATATTTATTTAATTAAATGTTATCTTTAACTAATTTTTTTATATAAAAAAAAGAATACGATGTGCAGCACTTTTATAAACATGTAGGTGTATATTAGTTATTTAAAAAAACACATTTGAGAGAGAGAGAGAGAGAGAGAGAGAGAGAGAGAGAGAGAGAGAGAGAGAGAGAGAGAGAGAGAGAGAGAGAGAGAGAGAGAGAGAGAGAGAGAGAGAGAGAGAGAGAGAGAGAGAGAGAGAGAGAGAGCCAACAACTTCTTAGGATTTTTTTTGGCATGTCGTCTTAAAGGGCGACTTTTACCATCCAGCCACCTACGAAATCGGGCATTCACTACATGTAGCTAACTAGCTATAGAAATATGTTTATTTCTCTTTTTCATTTAGTAATATTTTATCACAATAATATTTATTGAGGTAAACCGCCCTTATTGAATCTCACGTAGACATGTTAATTTCAGAATGCCTAGATAGAGAACATGAGATATATGTTGAGTTGCTTCTTTTAAATGATTACATAGATTCGTCTTTAATCTTCCCCATTAGAAGTGGTCTCTGGTCTTGGTTCACCGAGAAGGGAAGTTGCTTCACCTTGCACCAACTCCCAAGCCATATTTACATGTCTATCTTCGGTGAGACTTGCCCCCACAGAAAATCGGATAACATAAACTCCTCCAACCACCGAATGCGTCATGTAAACTCGCCCGGTTGCATTCACCGATTCCAATAACATCTGGTTCAATGCATTTGCTTTATGGTCATTGTCATGGTGCTGACTAATAGCATACGGAGAAACTCTAAAACAAACCATAGAAAAGTATCTAGGCGCCATAATCTCAAACCTAGCGTCCATGTTGACGAGCCCTTCAAAATCCTTGGCCATTTTCACATGTTTTCTTATGTATTCCCTCAAAGCAATCGTCCCATAGCTCCTAAGCACCATCCATAACTTCAAGGCTTGGAATCTTCGTGCTAGTGATATCTGCCAGTCTTTGTAGTCGACGACTTTCCCTGATTCAGTGGATTCGTTTGCCATCAACTCTGAGGTTGTAGAGAGTGGTTTCGTAAATGAAGCTTTGTCTTTAACCCAAAGGCAGCAGCAAGCCAGATTTGTGAGCAGCCATTTGTGCGCATTAAAACTGAAGGAGCTTGCACCCTCGACACCATCAAGGAAGTGACGAAACTCAGGGCAGATACATGCACTTCCAGCATAGGCAGCATCCACGTGAACCCACATATTATATTTGCTAGCCACCTCACACAAAGGCCCCAATGGGTCAACCGCTGTCGTTGAGGTTGTCCCAACAGTTGCACATAAATAGATTGGAATTAAACCATCTTCAAGGTCTCTTTTAATCATCTCATCTAGGGATTCTGGGGACAGTTCAAAGTTGGTTGACCTAGTTGTCAAGACTTGTCGAACATTCTCAGGTTTTATCCCAACAACTTTTGCTGACTTGTGGAAAGAAAAATGGGTTTGGTCAGAACAGTAGACTGCAAGATTCTCAGTGTTTTCTCTTCCAATTTGATCAAGTGTCTTCTCTTTCGCAGCAAGGAGTGTGCAAATGAAGGCCTCACAGGTACTCCCAAGCAAAACACCACCACCTCCACCTTGATTACTTGAAGTTGAGAACGACTGGGGAAGCTGGAGAAGTTTTAACAACCACTCCATGACGATGATCTCTAGTTCTGTTGCTGCAGGAGAAGATTCCCAGTTGAATCCGACAACACTAAAACCATTGAGAAGCATTTCCCCTAGAAAGCTTGCCGTGTTTAAGCTGGCTGGAAAGTAGGCAAAAAAATTTGGACTTTGCCAATGTGTTATGCCTGGAATAATATCCTTCTGCACATCCTTCAGTATAGCTTCGATTGACTCAGGGTACATTGGAGCACAGTCGGGCGAACTTTGAAATAGATAACCTGGTTTAACTTGGCTTCTAACAGGGTACTTTTCTATGTTCTGGTAATAATCGACAACGAAGTCAGTGACCATATGGCATTGCCTCCTGAATTCTATTGGGTTCAAGGGATTCATTGTTAATATGTGATATGCCAAAGAATATAGTTGCTGTATATATACGATTCTTGGATACATAATTAGATTCCTCCTACAATAACTAGTATTGGGCTTATTTTAAATAATACCTTCTTTGTGGACTATTAAACATCTATGGAAAGTTATATGCGTGATATGTTGAAAATATTCAAACAAGTGACTATAAAATCTCATACGTTGTAATACCAAAGAAAAGTTGTTTTCCGGCCACCATTATTAAATCCTATTTAATTTGTTGACAAAAGAGAACCTAAGGTGACAATACTTTCTTGTACTATGAGTAACACATCAAATGAAAGGAACTCTCCTTGGAAATTTTGTTTTACATCAAATGAAAGTAACTGTTATTGGAAATTTTGTTTTTCCTTGTGGGATGTCAGTTGATTGAAGCCGATTTGAGGCCCGGAGAAAATAAAAATTGAGGCCTTATTTTCTGTTGCCTCAATCGATTTAATACAAAAAATATTAATAATAATAATAATAATAATAATAATAATAATAATAATAATAAATACACAAAAAATGGGCACCAAAAATTTAGAGCTCATGGGCCAAAGGAAGCAACAACAAAAGATGAAGAACTTATAAACCTTTCATGTAATCAAATTGGACAAAAACTGGGTTACCAGAGTTGAGTTTGGACTTTGGAGTCGGGCTAAGCTTAAATTAGGTTCGGATGAATATATATATATATATATATATATATATATATATATATATATATATATATATATATATAAAAGAAAAGTGATTTTGAGTGACCAATTTTGAGTGACGACCCAAAATATAGTCACTAAAAACATCTTTTAGTGACCATATATTAAGTGGTCATGGATTTTGGTAGTGGTATAAATTTAGTGACCAAATCTTTGATAGTTGTCACTGAGTTGTCAATAAACCATAGAAAAAAGTTATTATTTAATTTCATAATAAATATTAGTGACTAAAAAAAATGTCACTCATATGACAATTAATGACCAAAAAATAGTCGTCAAAGTGTAGCCTTGGTTACCAAAAACAGTGGTCATTAAGTACCATGTGGTGTTCAAACTCATATATGGCAACGATGTTAGTACTCACCGAAAAGATAGTGACTACAAATGGTGGTCACAAGTTGACGGAAAGATTATAATCTTTTTACCTTTGAAAAATTATACTTTGTTTATTTGAAAACAATGTAAATTTATTACATAAATAGATTTTTCATTAAACATCTTTTAAACAAATACAAAAAATATATCTTACAATTAGGGGTAATTTACAAACAAATAAAAACAAATGTTACCAGCTATAACTGTTTTTAGCGCATGATACAAATAAAAACAAATGTTACTAGCTATAATTGTTTTTAGCGCGTGATACTATTATACATTTACTATATCCGGTTTATTAAAATATTAGTTAAATTGTTTTTTCTTAAAATGTTAAATAATATATTTATGTTATTATTAGGTTTAAAAAAATATTTATTAAATTAGTTTTAATGAAAAGTATATTAATACATAATGAAAAATCTAAACAAAATAAGAGGTTTATACGCATTTGCCCTGAGTTTTTGACTAAATAGGTGTTATTTACAAAAATATTTACCAAATGGGCATGATTTTGAAAATATTTACCAAATAGGGAGAAATTTAATCTAAAACATTTATCGTGCCCTAACTCATCGCAAATGCACATTACACAAGAACGCGACTACATCTTCCGTCACACCTCCATCTCTGGCTACCGGCGACTCCGCCTCCGACCAAAACGCCGGCCATATCATACGTGGTTTCTTCCTTTTTTATAGTTCAATTTTCTACCCAATCTCCAAAAGATTGATCACGATTTGATTTTTGAAGATGCGATTTCATGATTTCATATTGTAAAATTAAGTTAAATTTCTACCGGTTCTTGTCTGTTTCTTGAAGATGCGGCTGTGGTTGTGCTTTCAATTATATATTTTGATTGGTTTTTCAGTGGCCATGGTTGCAATCAAACCACCTCATTTGTGGTGCTCTTCATGCTGAAGTGTTGAAGTGTGTAAAACTTATGCATCTATACACAACAGAACCATGGCTTTTCTCTTGAGTGTGAAGATGAAGTACAAGCATGGATGATGTATATTATAGTCCAATTTGTACAATATAGGTGGATTTTTAAAAGCTTTGTTTTCGATTTTTGAATTGTATGCATTCCATGATTTCAGGCTTAAGTTCTCTGAAAGTCATATTATTGATCTCTTAAAGCAGTAATGAATTTGCTTTCCTTCAGTCTAGTTCTACATTTCGGTTGTTCCTCTGAGGTGGATTAGTCTATTCTCAAAATTCAGGCATCATCCAAATGATCATGACACTGTCGGCACTTCCTCTTGTCGGCCCACCAGCGTTGCTCCAAATCTCTAAGCCGATGCACCTCCTTACGTCGGTATGGTAGTTTGTGTAACGACCCGTCTCTGGTATGTTGTTTTCATGTTATTTATTTAGAAGTTTCAAGAGGGACTCGGCGAGTCTATAGCCCGACTCGTCGAGTAGAGACGTGATTTTGAGCAGCGTGTAGATCGGCGACTCGACGAGTGCATATTCGGGACTCGGCGAGTCCGCCTGCCAAGAAGAAACCCTAAATCCTCGGGTTTGCTCACTATTTAAGCAATGATATGTGCCCCAACTCGCCTCCTTCACCCTTAGAGAGCTTGTGAGAAACCGTAAACCATTCCTTGTATGATTAAAGTGTTTTGGTGTGGATTTTTGAAGGATTGAAGAAGAAGAAGAAGAAGAAGAAGAAAGGACCTAAAAGAGGGAGTGTAGAGCAAAGATCCAAGGCCAAAGTCAAAGTTCATTGAGGTATGTCCCGGAATTATCCTGTTTTGTGCTTAAAACCTCCATTAGAACACCTCTAAGGCTAGTTTAATGTATTTTCCAAGCTTTATAGTTGTATGGATGCCTTATTGGGTCGAGATATCCCTTGATCTGTTCATTTAAGAGTTTTAGAGCCCTGATCTATTTCCTTTTCGAAGTTGCCTTGCATGAGAACCTTAGATCTAGCCTTTATTATGTCTTTTGAGCCTTTTAATCTTCATGGATGTTTATGGGCACGTAAAGATAGAATCTTTACGTGTTAATCGAGCATAAGAAGCCCAGATCTACAAGTTATATGCACTGGATTCAAGCAGAATCGAGTTTTTAGTAACCGCATGCATACGACGCAGCGAGTTGTTCTTCGAACTCGGCGAGTCGAGCCGCGAGTCCCCGATTTTTCCCCTTTGAGTGATTCCGAGTGGGGACCAGTGAGTAGTAGAATGGACTCAGTGAGCCGGAGGTTAGACTCAGTAATGGAGGGACTCGACGAGTTGTTCATACAACTCGGCGAGTCTAAGGCAATCTTCATAGATTCAAGAACAACTCGTCGAGGTGTTCATACAACTCGGCGAGTCGGATGCAGATATCCTGAGTTTTAGAATCGAAAGGGAACTCGTCGAGTTGATGCTATACTCGACGAGTAGCAGCGAACAGGGTTGAGAAGTGAGAGTAGGGACTCGGCGAAGTGGCGGCCCAACTCGGCGAGTCAGGTCAACTGTAAGTTGACTTTGACCGGGAGAGTTGACTTTAGCCAGGGGTAAAAGAGTCATTTTATCCCAATGAAATTATTAGTATTTGATTGAGTGTATTTGTGGAATTGTAGCCGAGGAGATACCGGAGCAGCAGCAGATAGCTTCCAGAGAGCTATACACTCAGCAGAGAGCTATACACTCAGCAGCCAGTTCACGAGGTGAGTTTCCTTCTAGTAGGAACGGGACTAAGGCCACAATACCGGCCCGTTCAGTTAGCAGTAGTTTCCGGACTTCGGTCTGATGCAGTAGTTAGTATGTTTGATGCCTTCGTGGCTCAGATAGGATTTATGTGCTATGCGTTATGTGTTATGTGTTCCGGGCTACGACCCGATGCAATATGCAGTATATGTGTTCATGCTAATTGTTATGTTATGCCATGCTATGTTCAGTCAGTTTCCGGATTTCGGTCCGATGCAGGGGCCAAGGCCCCAGTTAGTTCGGATTTCGATCCGATGCAGGGGGCAAGGCCCCAGTTAGTCCGGATTTCGGTCCGATGTAGGGGACAAGGTCCCAGTCAGTTTCAGGACTTCGGTCCGATGCAGGGGGCAAGGCCCCAGTTAGTCCGGACTTCGGTCCAATGCAGGGGACAAGGTCGTAGTCAGTTTCCGGACTTCGGTCCGATGCAGGGGGCAAGGCCCCAGTTAGTCCGGACCTCAGTCCGATGCAGTGGGCAAGGCCCAGTATGTGCTTTATATGTAATTGTATGGTATGTGGTAGTTTGGGGGAGCTCACTAAGCTTTGTGCTTACAGTTTTAGTTTTGGTTTCAGGTACTTCCGCAAGTAAAGGGAAGAGCTCGGGTTGATGGCATCGCACACACCATAGCTTTAGTTGTCCTGGGAGTTGTCTTTAGTTTTTCATAAATGTGATTTGATACAGTCTTGATACAGTTTACTCATAACACCTTGCTATTTTTTTTTGAGATATTGACGTACGAGTTTTACTTTATGATATTAACATGGTGTTTTTAGTAATTATTAAACAAAAAAAATTTGGGTCGTATTTTGGGATGTTACAAGTTGGTATCAGAGCCTTGGTTTGAGGGATTCGGATTCACTTTCGGGTGTGTCTGAACTCAAACTAAGGAAACGGTAAAGATTTTCAAAAGAAAAATGTCTTTGAAAAAGAACTTAGAAAGAAGAAGAGTTTTTATAAAAGGAAAAGGGTGTGGCATATGCGATCAACCGAGCTCAAGTAAGTACTCCCAAATTACCCATACAAGTTATGTTATGATTGTCAGTTTTAGTTTCAGTAGAACAACATGCTAGAATAGGACTAAGGATCTAGGAGGATGCCTTATGTGCCTGCTATATGTGTTTCAGCTTTACAAGATTTGCATGCTAGTATTGAGTAGAAAATAGTAGGATAGCCTGTTTAGGTTATGCCTGG